CGGCTCTTGCCAATCGTGCTGCCGTGAACACGGGTACACGTGTATCACTGTACCGTGCTGGTGCTGTCTCTTTGGGGGAAAGAGAGGGGACAGACAGGTTGTATCAGAGGGAGAGACCCGGGGCGCGCCCGAGCGCCAAGGGCAGGTGCTCCTCCCGAGAAAGGAGGCCCTGTGACGTGAGATGTCCTTGGCTCCTTCGGCAAGGAGCCTAGAAAGCAGATAGCTGGGGTGGAGCGGAATTTCTGCCCCTGGTCTTTCCAGGCCTCCCCACACTGATTTCCCTACGTAGTGCCCCTACCACTCGAGCTTCTTCCCGCCCACCCACGAAGAACCGCAGACTTCTCCCTGCAGACTCACCCTCCGCCCTTGGCTGGCTGTGCTTTGATTGCCGGATGGGAGCCCTCCCTTCTGGAGGGAGGTGGACTCGGTACTCTTTTCATTGCTCTTGCTCTGCCGGCCAGAGCTGCTGAACACGTTTTCAGGGATCCAGCATTTGTCCTCCTCCTTCACGTGCCTATCTTACTATTTTCAGGATCCCCATGTTTCGATCGGGTCTTTTCTACTGTTGCGGGGAGTCCTCATGTTTTGAGTTCTTGATATATGCATACTTCCACGCTGGTGGCCAGACCGATCGTGTGTGTGTGTGTGTGTGTGTGTGTGTGTGTGTGTGTGAGTGTGTGTGTGCGTGCACGCGCGTGCGAGTGTGCCTGTGCGTGTGTGTATGAGGGAGATATGGTGGTGGCTTCCTTTGAAGACCAAAGATGTTCACTCGCGTCTGAGTTGGTTTTCCTCAACTGAATCCTCCGCACTCGAGTCACGTGGCAGGGTTACCACTTGGCGATAAACGAAACGAGTGGGCTTGAGGTTGCAGTTTGGGCCCTGGAACTCTAAAAGGAACCCCTGCGCTGTTCTGGATATCTGCCTGAAGGATATTGGGAGGAAACGTGTTCCCATGGCGTGGACAGTTTCTTCACGGTTGGTCGCCTCTTCTACTGTGCAGAAGCTCTTCCACATGCTGTGACCCCGTCTGTTGATGTTTCTTGTTCCTTCCTGGCGTCGCCGCCATCGTCGTCGTCGTCGTCGTCGTCGTCGTCGTCGCCGTCGTCCTCCTCCTCCTCCTCCTCCTCCTCCTCCTCCTCCTCCTCCTCCTCCTCCTCCTCCTCCTCCTCCTCCTCCTCCTCCTCCTGACGGGGACTCACACTCACTATTAGCCGAAGCAGGCCTCCAAGCCCCAGCGGTCCTCTCGCCCGCCCGCCCATGGCCTTCCCTGCGCTAGGATGCGGGACGTGCCTGTGGGGCTCCCGCTATTGGTTCTTGACAATGTTATTTCCTCTGCAGTGGGTGTTTCAGTCACAGGGTCTTTGGGGCCGCTGCCTATTCCAGCAGAGAACTCTATGCTTTCAGGAAAGCGGCTCGTGGCCTACAGCTGGGCCTTTGTAGAGAAGGGAGGGACCCACATTGCCGAACTGTCCCCTTGTGGGTCCTCGAGCGCACCTGCCATAACAGGTCGCCGGGTGTGTGTGTGTGTGTGTGTGTTTATTCTCGAGGACCAGACCTGGGAAGGATAATGCTGCCGCCACCCTCTCTCAGTCTGGCGGAGTTTCAGCCCTGCACCAGCTCTCTCCCGCCCCCCCCACCCCGAGCGCTCCGCCCCGCCCCGCCCCACCCCACTCCACCCCACCCCACTCTCTCATAACTCCCGAAGCCCCACCTCCTTCCAGCGAAGGAGACCTTCCAGCACCTAGCTCTGAGAACTCTCTTTGCTGGCCCCCCAAAGTCCAGAGCCAATGGCGGGCCCATGAAACCAAGTCTACCAAGGCCTGCCGCCGCAGTCAAGGAAAGTGAGCTCGGCTGTGTCCACGGCGGAGCTAGCAGAGCTCGTCCCGTCCACGGGGACAGGCGCACACGGGCTGGGAATGCAGCTCGGTGGCAGAGTGCTTGAGAGCACGCCTGAGCCCCTGCGTTCGATCCTAATACTGAGAAAACAGCAAAGGAAACAACCAACGAACCCACACCACACAAACCAACAAACAACCAGGTGATGACTCTGAGGCTCAGAGGCCTAACCTGATGCCCCAGCCCCACCTAACATTGCAGCAATGGGGTCGGGGCTTGGTGGGGGGGCCCAGTAGGGCAGGGCCGAGACTGAATTTCAGAGCTCTCCACCTGATTCCTGTCTGATGTCTGCTTCCACAAACACCCTTCTTTGCAGACATCCCTTCCCCGGGCTCTTCGTCAAGCGTGCGGGGAGTTGATGTTTGTAACCTCATGGAAACGTTATCGGAATTCTAGCAGGTTGATTTCCGATCTACCAACTTCCGGTGCAACCCATGGCAAGAATTAAAGACACCGAGACACATTTATACTTGGGGGCGGGGGCGGGGGCGGGGAGGGGTGGCTGTGCGGGCGCGCCGAGGGGTCCTAAGTCCGGCCAGGGTGAAGGGTCATCGGGAACAAAGGCCTCGACCCAGGGCCTAACCCGGATTTTATTAATTCGTGAAGAAGGCAGTGGCTAGAGGATGAACCACTGCGACAATGGCGGGAATGCCGTGAGTACTGTGAGCTGGGCCACGCACGAGACCTGCAACCACCCCTCCAACGTGCAGAAAGACCCATCTGCGTAAGGCAACTGAGGCAGCATTTCATGTTCGGAGGGCGATGCTTCAGCTCTGACCTGTAGTGTAGAGCTTCATGCCCGGGGAAGCCGTAGCCTCTCACCTCGAGGCTGGAACCCAGTTGACGGCCCTGGAGCGGTGGCTCTGCTTCCCGCCCGGCTCAACCACGTTTGGATTGGGGGGTCACGGGGCAGGGGAACAGGGACCGCCACCGAGCTTCAAAGATCACGCGTCAGCACCTCCTCGGCCAGCCCCATTTACATGGCTTAGAGCCCATGGAAGGCAAAAAGGTAATGGCTCGGTGGGCTCTGTCCTTATCAGCCCGTGGAGACAGGGCCTGGCCTGCTTTAGCCCACCTGGAGATAAGTGTTCTTCTTTGTTCGAGGAGAGTCCTCCAGGTGGTCCTCCACACTCCTTAGCAGTTGCAGCGGAGACACCTGAACTCAGACTTGGCCTGAAACCGGACCGCTTCCACACACATCAAAGCGTTCGGGGCAGATACTCAAGAACCCGCGTGAGACTGAGGGAAGAGAGAAGGCCCGCTTTGGTCCCAGGCAGGAAGAGAGCGAATCTTGGGGCTGGGGCTGGGGCTGGGGCTGGGGCTGGGGTGGGGGTGGGGGTGGGTGTCCACCCTAAGGGGAATATGTCAAGAGCAAGTCCAGAAGCCCGAGTCCTGCCACCACTAGGAGGAATTAGATGGACGCTCTGGGTCCATGGAAACAAACCTCTCCCCCAAGCGCGCCTCCTCTTTCTGTAGTCCCACAACACACATCAGCTCCGGGACCCGAACACAGGCAAGGTTCTCCTGGCACGGACACACCGAGCTGTCAGTTCTGCGGTGACACCAGCGGCTCTCCTCGAGTTCAGTAGCGACGCCATCGACCTGGAGATCCCGCATGTTGGGAGGCCAAGTGCCCAAGGATGACCCGAGACCCGGCTGCAGATGCCAGCTGCGTGTCACAGGTTGCGCCTTGCGCAACCCTAGAATACCACCCTAGAAGCCCCAGTTCCCACCCACCGCGGGCACACTGACTCTACCTGGGGGACAGCACTTCACCGACACCTACCCAGTTTATTACTAAGGATATTACAAAGGATACGGGGAAGAGAAGCTCCGGGTCAGCTGTGTAGGGAAGGGTGCGGGACTCGAATGCCTGCTTTGGGAGCAGCGGCCGCCTGAAACCTCCCTGTGTTCAACTAGCCGGAAGCCCCCCAAACACTGCCCTGTGGGGCTTTCTATGCAGACTGGAGGGCACTGGCATCACTGGTAACAGACTGGGTGGGGAGACCCGGGAAAAGAAGTCACTCCCTCCCCCTACCTCCCCCTCCCCCACTCTGTCTCAGCCTGTGTCCACCTCTGCGTCCCCCTCTGCGTCCCCCTCTGCGTCCCCCTCGCCTCCTCCTCCTCTCCTGCTCCTCCTCCTCCTCCCCCTCCTCCTCCACCTGCTTGTGGCGGGGCATGTTGCAGGGCTCCCTGGAATGCAAAGCTCTGATGATTTTTGTCTCTGTGTGCTCTGTTGGGAAACTATGCTGTGAGACGGGGCAATAGACCAGGATAACTCGGGGGCATCCTGGTGGCCACGATTCCAGATGGCCACAGCCAGCTGGGCTGATCCCCCACCCCACCCCCAGACCTTATCAGGTTTCACACACACACACACACACACACACACACACACACACACACGGGTGTGAAGTTCCTGGACTGGCACGCCGCCCTGCCAGTCTCTGGACGGACAGAATTAAATGCAGTGCCCAAGTACCTCGACCCACTGTCACTCTCTGTGTGGCCTAGAGAAAGAGATTCAGTGGTTGGGACGATGACCACTTACTTCTCTTGAAAGCCAAAGGGCCTGAGGTCTTTGCGGGTTACTTAGCTCAGGCCTCTGAAGCTCCGCCCAGATTGGGAGTCCAGTGACCCCTGGAAAATGAATGAATTCTTGGAGACCCTCACCAAGGTACAGGCTTAAGACGAGCCCTTCCTGAGTAGACCGGGAGAAAGACGTGTTCAGCTTCACGCTAGGATTTTTAATGCCTCTGTTGGGCTCGTATGCCACACCCATGTTGTTCTCAAGTCTTCCGTCCTCTAATACCCGCTCCCCCACCCCACGCTCCCGCCCAAGAACTGTGGCCCCCAGTGCGCGGGGCACAGGACCCCAGATGTGCTGCCGGTCACGGTTGCCCGCTGGGTCACCCTGGGGGTCAGGGGATGGTGGTGGTGGCGGCGGTGGTGAGGGTGGCGCGGGGAAGAGCACTTTTCACGGCAGGCTGCAAGCCGCTCTCTCCTCTGTGAGGTGGCAGTAGGATCGCTGCCTTCCGTGGCTACAGTTCATGGTGGGTGTTGTAGTCAGGGGTTGTACACAGAGAACAATTCAGATCAGGACATGGAGTTTATAATATTTTTATAATGGTCACCGGAAGTTAACACAGGAGAATGCAGGAAATCTATCCGCAACACCAACGACATAGATTATATAAGTCAAGAGCCTAAACCCCACGGCAATGTCCCACATGAGTCCAGATAAAAACCCAGAGCTCAGGACAACGCCTCCACGAGTCCAACTGGAAGTCCAGGGCCCACAAGGACTCATGCCAGTCTCTTTTACGGATTCGTGCCGGGAAGACCCAAGGGTCAGCGGTGGAAGCCAGAAAGTCTATGCCAGCAGGATGAAGGAGCTGTGCTAGTGGGATGAGGGTTCCACGCTGGAGCCGAGAAGTCACACTCACAACAAAGAGTGGGGCTGTCCTGAATGGAACCACAGCTGTCCTCAGCGACACGGAGGCCCCGAGCTCGCTCCTCCGACGACAAGCACAGTCGGGGTCGGGTACGTGCCAGGAAGCAGCGTGACGAGTTCATCCTGGAGACCAGGCAGCACATGTCTTCCCCTCCGGAGCCAGGAAGCAATGCTCCATGTGAAAACCAAAGCTTCTCCAGGAGAACCAACAGCTCAGACAGCAACTTGTAGGAGAACTAACAATGCCTCCATAACGCCTCCATCCCTCTCCACACCTCTCTTCTCCACTTATTTATCCTGGCAACCCTTCTCAGGTGGAGCATCTTCTCTCAATGCATGCTGATGTAATCCAGCTGGCGTTAAGTTGACCACTAGTTATCAAACCATAACAGTGGGTGAACGGCAGGCAGCGAACCACCACAAACATCCGCGGTGCCCAAAGCCTCACCTGTGACTAGAGCGCCTTGGCGAGGCTCCCTGCACCACCGCCGCTGCCTCCCCGGGAGAACACGGTGGTGGTGGTGATGGTGGTGGTGGTGCTGGTGCTGGTGCTGGTGCTGGTGCTGGTGGTGGCATCGGTTCCTTAACAAGGCACCAGGGTTTTACATGATTCGGGGGTCTTTCGTCTACCACAGCGCCTGCTGTGCAGTGAGGACGGGAGGGGGGGGGGACGAGTGGACTCCGTCCACGCAGAAGGCAGCCGAGAACATCCCGGTCCCCGCGGGACCTTACCTACCGAGGAGAGGAGAGGGCGGATGCAGAAAGGGCTTTGCAGGAGGCGGCCCCGGAGTGGGGACGGGACATCAAGGAGCGGCTTGGGAAAAACAGCTTCGGAAACGAGTTCGCTTTTCAACTCCCAGTTCCTGAGTCCAACGGAGAGACGACCTACATACCGCTCCGAAGGCGTGGAGTGGGGGGACGCGAAAGGGCGCCACGGGTAGCCTTTCCAGCCAACAGAAGCCCTACCCTAAACTGAAGTCCTGGAGCAGAGCCCAGGGGCGAAGCCAAAGCGCCCGGGGGCTGCCGCTGGGTGTGGGTGTGGGTGTGGGTGTGGGAGTGGGTGTGCGTGTCCCCCTCCACAGAGTCCTGAACCAAACCAGAACGGACCGGACCGGACCGGACCGGACCGGACCGGAGGGCGGGGGCTTCACACTGCTTTCCCTCCTCCCAAAGCCTTCCTTCCTCCCCCACGGCCGGCCGGCCGGCCCGTGTCCCCACAGCTGGAAGTCACGGGCACAAAACACTCCCTCCCGGGGGCTCTCCTTTCCTTCCGTTTTCTCCCGTGCTGCTGCGGCTGCGTCTCCATCTCCATCCGGGCCTGCGTGCGTGCGTGCATACATACGTGCGTGCATACGTGCCTGCGTGTGCGGTCGAGCGTGGCTGCCTGCGCGTTCCCATGAAAAGACACGTTATTTCCCCAGAAGATCCACATTGAGTCTGGCTTCCCGCACGTGGACTGAGGGTCTCTAATGTAAAGCGCAGGGCATGCTGAGGCGGCAGGAGGCTGCAGGGTGAAAGTGGATGAAGGGCTCAGCCGCAGCTACGTGGCGGTGTCTGCGCAACGTCCGCGTGGCCACAAGCGTCCAGTGCCAAGTGCCTTGGCACGGGAGCCTGGTGCTTGGGGAGGCCTGCATTTGGGGGTGAGCAAGAAGAAAGCAGAAGCGGAGGAGGCAGCAGGTTCCGGAGGCTGAGGGTGCATGGGGAGCCCCGTGGAGGGAGGAGGCAAGGGCTCTGTGTGAGACGGGCAGGAGCACCACGGTGGCCAAGTGGGAAACGGGGTTGGGTGGAGGGGCGGCGAGAAGCAGGCAGCAGAGGTAGGGGGCGACCAACACGCCTGCACCCGAAAGACCACAAAACCACAAGTGGCTGAAGCCAGGGAAAGTGGGTCCTCCAGCAAGGCAAAGCGAGTGGCCCTCAGTGGCCAAAGGCCCAGAGGCCGGCGGGGATTAGGGTAGCTAGGCTGGGGCTGGGGCTGGGGCTGCGTCCAGGTGGGCCCCAGCAACGTCCGGACTGGCCGGAGACCAGGAACACGGTCACCTCAACAGAGGGGACGCTGAGGACTGAGAGGCACGGGAGGACTCGCTGGAGCCCAGGCAGCCCTCGGGGGAGGACGAAGAGGCCGTCCTCCTGAGACCTGGCAAAGCAGCTCTCCCGGCCAAAGCCCATGCAGAGCACCAGGGGAAGCCTCCGGCCTCCGGCCTCCGGGGGTGGGGGGACGGGAGAAGGCATGGCACCCTGCTCTGAGAAGGGTATGGAGGCCACGGAGCAGCTCCGAGGCCTAGGGTCCAGCAGCCTGCCGCAGAGCGGAGCGGAGCGGAGCGGAGCAGGGCCGGGCCTTGCGTTGCGGCATGAGGTTTCTTCGGGCTGACGGGTCTCGGGACCCGAAAGACACTGGGCCCCCACTTGGGCCCTCACGGCCCCTGCCCTAGGGCACCGTGAGGGCAACCACACCCCGCTGCTTGCCCCCAACTGCGCCTTTGCCAGACATACCACCACTGAGGACTAGCAACCGGGCACAGCACCTCCTGGTGACTCTCCGGCCCTTCCATCCCTCCTGCAATCCCAGGGGGGCCCACCCCGAGGTCCGAGACAGCCCAGGAGGTCAGGGAACGAGGGTCTGGGAGGCCTGTGCCTTCGGCCACGAGAGGTGCCTGTGGCCCTCCAGGGATCCTGACACAGAGGTGGTGGACTGGATGCCAGATGAGGGCCAGAGCGGCTGCAGATTACCCTGCTCTGGGCTCACGTGGACACATTTGTTGGGCTTCTGTGGCCAAGCTTAGAAGCCCGAAAAGGGAAAAACAGGAAGTGATTTCACCGCGTTTGAAAACAAGGGAAAGCAGGTCAGCTCTTGGTGTGGCTCACCTGCAAGACGGATGGAAAGGGCAGAGAGACACACAGACACACAGACACACAGACACAGATACAGACAGACGGACGGACGGACGGACAGACAGACAGACAGACAGACAGACAGACAGACAGAGACACAGGCAGAGAGAGGATCAAAGATGAGTTCGGCCTGAAAAGATGTGTGTTCCCTGGGAGAGGGGGACAAAGATTGCTTTCCACTAACCGGTGCCCTCGGCCCTGCGCTGCAGAACAGCCCCTGCTCAGGGAAACCAGATGGGCAGGAGGCGGACCAGTAAACACAGTGCAGAGATCAAGAGCTGGGGGTGGGGGGAGTGGAGGTGGAGGTCAGGGCACGCGGACTCAGGGGACTCAGCACCCAGTACGCGTGGTCCCATCTGACCCCTCAGCTCTTCTGCACATACACACTCGCCACAAAGTACGTGCCAGAGTGTGTATGTCACTGGCGCTGAGGAGAGAGCATCCAACAACCTCATCACGATGGAAAACAGGGCCCGGGGATTTAACTCAGTGGTGGGGCGCCTTCCCCGAGAAGCGTGAGGTCCCGAGTTCCATTTCTGGTAACCCCTCGCCCCACCCCCACCCCCACCCCCACCCCCACCCCAAACAGGTGGAAAACAAACCCCGGAACCTGTGCGAAGAGGTGGCCACGTATCTATATCCCCATGCCAGACGCTCCCCGGTAGGCAGGGAAAGCCAGCGGGGCGAAGCGGCCATGAAATTAGGAAGGCCCAGGGTGGGCGGAGGGGAGGGGGGGTGGGCTGCGGTGAGGGGAGCCCTTCACAACACTGTACACGTGACGTGACAGATGAGAGCTGGCTCTCTCTGGCGCACACTGAAGGCATTCCTGAGTGCTTGACGTTTCCCCATGTAGCTTCTTCCTAAGTGACCTCTTTCCCTCCAGAGGTGTTGCAGTGAGAGGAGCGCTGGAGCCCTGTCCCATGCTGACAAAGAATGAAACTGGACAACGCAGGAGGAGGCAGGGTATGAGCCTGTTTCTTCCACAGTGAGAAAGGCAAGAAAGTGCACGCAGTAAAGGGAAGGGAGCCTCCACTAGCCTAGCCGGGAGGGTGTTCTGAGTAGGATACCTAACCAGAGCTCTTGGCCTAGGGGTTCTGAAGGGACTCACGAGGGAGCTTGTGGAAGGGCCCGGGCCCTTGTGGAAGACACAGAAGAACACGATCCCCGCCTTACATGGAGACTGTATATAGTTCAGTTGGTTCTTTGGTTTGGTTTTTAAAACTATGGGACGCTTCACTTGCGCAGGGGCCTGGCTGATGTCTGTATCATGCCAATTTTAGTATATGTGCTGCTGAACTGAGCGCTGTGTGTGTGTGTGTGTGTGTGTGTGTGTGTGTGTGTGTGTGTGTATCTGAGTGTATGTATATTTGGATGGATGGATGGATGCCTGGCTGGCTGGCTGGCTGGATGGATATGGATATGTATCCATGTGTTGGTTCTTTTTCTTTTCTGTCAGGATCTGGTCTATCCAGTGCTCACGCAGTGTCCCCTGCAGGGCCCGTGTGCCCGCCCTCGACTATCCTGTCTGGATAGTGCTCCGGTGTGTGTCCCAGACAGCCCAAAGACACCTGCCGCATTTTTGGTTTCCCCCTGGGGTCCCTGGAGGGTCTTGACTGGGCAGGCTGTCGGGGGCCTTCCCGACTCCATCTGAGGGCCACTGTGCTCCAAGCCTAAGAAAATGCTAACTCCTCTCTCGCTTATTCCTGGTACTCGACTCGACCCGTGCTCCCCAGTCTGCTCTGAAGCCACGAGACGCCAGGGGGTTTCGAGGGATTGCTTGGGTGGAAGTCTGGGCCTGGACCGTGATGCAGTTTAGCTGTGTCACCCTGGAAAACTGACTGGTCTCTCTGCGTTTCGGTCCACAGCGGGGGGTGGACAATAAGGGCACGTTTACACTTTTGAGTTAGCCACACTGAAAAAAAACATCCTCGTGTGGGACAAGGTCTCCTAACTTGCGTTCCATTTCCCGAGTGGGGTCCAACTTGGGAGCCGACCCTCCCGCCGCTTGAACCCCCGCCCCCACCCCCGAGTGCCGAGGGATGGCAGGAGGGCTACTCCGGAGGGTGTCCCTCTCCAAGGGACACTCCATCCCCGCCTTCCCCTTCCCCGGGGCCTTGACCTCGGGCTTCTTCCCAGGGCGTGCGCCCGCAGCCACCGGGTGTCCTGCCGCCTCTATCCAGCCAGATCTTCTGCCTCCACGCCCGCAGTCGAGACGGTGCCCCCCCCACCCCCACCCCCACCCCCACCCCCACCCCCAGGGGCTCTCTCCTCTGAGTCAGTCAGCGCACCGCGAGCGGGGAGGGGAGGACCGTCCTCGCTCGGTTCACCCGCTCCCCAGCCGGGCCCAGGAACGAAGGAGGCCCGGGATGAGCACACAGTTGGCGGCGCTAGTGGCGCCACGTGTCTCGCCACCCGCTTTCTCTGCGGGAAGGCCCGCACGCTGGCGCCGCCTGGCCACGCCCCCCCCCTGCAGCCTCCCCCCCACGTCGTCCCCTCCCGCGGCGAGCCCTCTGCACGCCTCCGGGGCCCCCCTGCCCGCCCCCGCCCCCCGCCACGTCCCGCCTCCTCCCGTCTCGCGGCGTCTGGTCGGCTGTCCTGACTGGGCGGGGACAGCAAGCAGGAAGCGGCTCCCAGCGCCCCGCCCCCCGCCGGTCAGGCGCAGAGCCGGTCGGGAGGGCGGGGTCGGCGGGCGCAGCCACGCCTCCTCGGGGAAGGAAGGGCGGGTCATGCAGATGAGCGGCGGGACCGAGTGCCGGGGACGCCGGGAGGGCGTAAGAGGGGCGAGAAGCTGGCCCGGAAAACTGCGTGAAATGAGAAGCGTGCACCCGAGTAGGACGAGTAGGACGGTGTGCGCATGGGTGTGCAGGAGCAAGAGGCCGAGAGAGGCGGAGTGAGGGTTGTTTTTGTCACCGGGCGTGAAATGTGGAGCGCGGGAGGACGGCAAGAAGTGCGGGGGAGCCGGGCGGCATCGCTTCTCGGCCTTTTGGCTAAGATCAAGTGTAGTATCTGTTCTTATCAGTTTAATATCTGATACGTCCTCTATCCGAGGACAATATATTAAATGGATTTTTGGAGCTGGGAGATGGAATAGGAGCTTGCTCCGTCCACTCCACGCATCGACCTGGTATTGCAGTACCTCCAGGAACGGTGCACCCCTCCCCGGGGAAACGACCGCCTGTGCAAAAGGAAGCCCTTGTGTCCGCTCGCCTTTGTATGCGAGGGTCGGCTCTGCTGTCACCGCCATCAGCAGCCATCAGCGCAGCATTGCTTCACCAGCCCTTGCCTGGTAGCTGGCTCGTTGCTGTTGAGTCGCGCGCTGGCTGTCTCTTTGGCCCTGCTTCACGCCCGCCTGGTGCCTGGTCTGCCTTGGCCTATTCTGTTTCTCTGCTTCTCTCTTGCTCTGCTTTCTCCTTGCACGCTTATCCTCACGGGCAGGGGCGGCGCCTTGCACGCTCGCCATGCTTTCTAGCCTGTGCTTTTGCTGCTTTCACGCCTGCTTCTCTCCTCTCCGGGACGTGCGGGGCTGCGTGTCTCTGTGGAAAACCACATCACCGCACGGGAGACAGCACGGTTCCAAAAGCCAAAGCCATCCTCAGCACGCGTCTTCCGCTTTCTGCGTGGCCCTTCGCGAACCTCTCTGCCTCAATCTAGCAGTCTCCTGTCTCCTTCCTTGACTTTTGCACAAGACCTCGCTCCCTGCCCTGTTTTGCATGCCCTGTCTTTCCAAAAACTCTTTTGGTTTGTAGTTTTCCATTTCAACTATCGGACGAACCACGCGCTCTTTGGGCTTGCGTGTCGGATGGATGGATGGATCGCACTTGCCGCTGTTATGGTGCAGCGTGCACCCCCGGGTTTCCCCTGCTGATGGCTCCTCGAGTTGATCCTGCGTGGCAACGTAGTGGCGCCATCGTGCACACACACATACCACGTTTGCCTCACCCAGTCAGTCGTCGGCCAGTGCACACGCGGCCTCTTTCCGTGACTCGGCTCTTGCCAATCGTGCTGCCGTGAACACGGGTACACGTGTATCACTGTACCGTGCTGGTGCTGTCTCTTTGGGGGAAAGAGAGGGGACAGACAGGTTGTATCAGAGGGAGAGACCCGGGGCGCGCCCGAGCGCCAAGGGCAGGTGCTCCTCCCGAGAAAGGAGGCCCTGTGACGTGAGATGTCCTTGGCTCCTTCGGCAAGGAGCCTAGAAAGCAGATAGCTGGGGTGGAGCGGAATTTCTGCCCCTGGTCTTTCCAGGCCTCCCCACACTGATTTCCCTACGTAGTGCCCCTACCACTCGAGCTTCTTCCCGCCCACCCACGAAGAACCGCAGACTTCTCCCTGCAGACTCACCCTCCGCCCTTGGCTGGCTGTGCTTTGATTGCCGGATGGGAGCCCTCCCTTCTGGAGGGAGGTGGACTCGGTACTCTTTTCATTGCTCTTGCTCTGCCGGCCAGAGCTGCTGAACACGTTTTCAGGGATCCAGCATTTGTCCTCCTCCTTCACGTGCCTATCTTACTATTTTCAGGATCCCCATGTTTCGATCGGGTCTTTTCTACTGTTGCGGGGAGTCCTCATGTTTTGAGTTCTTGATATATGCATACTTCCACGCTGGTGGCCAGACCGATCGTGTGTGTGTGTGTGTGTGTGTGTGTGTGTGTGTGTGTGAGTGTGTGTGTGCGTGCACGCGCGTGCGAGTGTGCCTGTGCGTGTGTGTATGAGGGAGATATGGTGGTGGCTTCCTTTGAAGACCAAAGATGTTCACTCGCGTCTGAGTTGGTTTTCCTCAACTGAATCCTCCGCACTCGAGTCACGTGGCAGGGTTACCACTTGGCGATAAACGAAACGAGTGGGCTTGAGGTTGCAGTTTGGGCCCTGGAACTCTAAAAGGAACCCCTGCGCTGTTCTGGATATCTGCCTGAAGGATATTGGGAGGAAACGTGTTCCCATGGCGTGGACAGTTTCTTCACGGTTGGTCGCCTCTTCTACTGTGCAGAAGCTCTTCCACATGCTGTGACCCCGTCTGTTGATGTTTCTTGTTCCTTCCTGGCGTCGCCGCCATCGTCGTCGTCGTCGTCGTCGTCGTCGTCGTCGCCGTCGTCCTCCTCCTCCTCCTCCTCCTCCTCCTCCTCCTCCTCCTCCTCCTCCTCCTCCTCCTCCTCCTCCTCCTCCTCCTCCTGACGGGGACTCACACTCACTATTAGCCGAAGCAGGCCTCCAAGCCCCAGCGGTCCTCTCGCCCGCCCGCCCATGGCCTTCCCTGCGCTAGGATGCGGGACGTGCCTGTGGGGCTCCCGCTATTGGTTCTTGACAATGTTATTTCCTCTGCAGTGGGTGTTTCAGTCACAGGGTCTTTGGGGCCGCTGCCTATTCCAGCAGAGAACTCTATGCTTTCAGGAAAGCGGCTCGTGGCCTACAGCTGGGCCTTTGTAGAGAAGGGAGGGACCCACATTGCCGAACTGTCCCCTTGTGGGTCCTCGAGCGCACCTGCCATAACAGGTCGCCGGGTGTGTGTGTGTGTGTGTGTGTTTATTCTCGAGGACCAGACCTGGGAAGGATAATGCTGCCGCCACCCTCTCTCAGTCTGGCGGAGTTTCAGCCCTGCACCAGCTCTCTCCCGCCCCCCCCACCCCGAGCGCTCCGCCCCGCCCCGCCCCACCCCACTCCACCCCACCCCACTCTCTCATAACTCCCGAAGCCCCACCTCCTTCCAGCGAAGGAGACCTTCCAGCACCTAGCTCTGAGAACTCTCTTTGCTGGCCCCCCAAAGTCCAGAGCCAATGGCGGGCCCATGAAACCAAGTCTACCAAGGCCTGCCGCCGCAGTCAAGGAAAGTGAGCTCGGCTGTGTCCACGGCGGAGCTAGCAGAGCTCGTCCCGTCCACGGGGACAGGCGCACACGGGCTGGGAATGCAGCTCGGTGGCAGAGTGCTTGAGAGCACGCCTGAGCCCCTGCGTTCGATCCTAATACTGAGAAAACAGCAAAGGAAACAACCAACGAACCCACACCACACAAACCAACAAACAACCAGGTGATGACTCTGAGGCTCAGAGGCCTAACCTGATGCCCCAGCCCCACCTAACATTGCAGCAATGGGGTCGGGGCTTGGTGGGGGGGCCCAGTAGGGCAGGGCCGAGACTGAATTTCAGAGCTCTCCACCTGATTCCTGTCTGATGTCTGCTTCCACAAACACCCTTCTTTGCAGACATCCCTTCCCCGGGCTCTTCGTCAAGCGTGCGGGGAGTTGATGTTTGTAACCTCATGGAAACGTTATCGGAATTCTAGCAGGTTGATTTCCGATCTACCAACTTCCGGTGCAACCCATGGCAAGAATTAAAGACACCGAGACACATTTATACTTGGGGGCGGGGGCGGGGGCGGGGAGGGGTGGCTGTGCGGGCGCGCCGAGGGGTCCTAAGTCCGGCCAGGGTGAAGGGTCATCGGGAACAAAGGCCTCGACCCAGGGCCTAACCCGGATTTTATTAATTCGTGAAGAAGGCAGTGGCTAGAGGATGAACCACTGCGACAATGGCGGGAATGCCGTGAGTACTGTGAGCTGGGCCACGCACGAGACCTGCAACCACCCCTCCAACGTGCAGAAAGACCCATCTGCGTAAGGCAACTGAGGCAGCATTTCATGTTCGGAGGGCGATGCTTCAGCTCTGACCTGTAGTGTAGAGCTTCATGCCCGGGGAAGCCGTAGCCTCTCACCTCGAGGCTGGAACCCAGTTGACGGCCCTGGAGCGGTGGCTCTGCTTCCCGCCCGGCTCAACCACGTTTGGATTGGGGGGTCACGGGGCAGGGGAACAGGGACCGCCACCGAGCTTCAAAGATCACGCGTCAGCACCTCCTCGGCCAGCCCCATTTACATGGCTTAGAGCCCATGGAAGGCAAAAAGGTAATGGCTCGGTGGGCTCTGTCCTTATCAGCCCGTGGAGACAGGGCCTGGCCTGCTTTAGCCCACCTGGAGATAAGTGTTCTTCTTTGTTCGAGGAGAGTCCTCCAGGTGGTCCTCCACACTCCTTAGCAGTTGCAGCGGAGACACCTGAACTCAGACTTGGCCTGAAACCGGACCGCTTCCACACACATCAAAGCGTTCGGGGCAGATACTCAAGAACCCGCGTGAGACTGAGGGAAGAGAGAAGGCCCGCTTTGGTCCCAGGCAGGAAGAGAGCGAATCTTGGGGCTGGGGCTGGGGCTGGGGCTGGGGCTGGGGTGGGGGTGGGGGTGGGTGTCCACCCTAAGGGGAATATGTCAAGAGCAAGTCCAGAAGCCCGAGTCCTGCCACCACTAGGAGGAATTAGATGGACGCTCTGGGTCCATGGAAACAAACCTCTCCCCCAAGCGCGCCTCCTCTTTCTGTAGTCCCACAACACACATCAGCTCCGGGACCCGAACACAGGCAAGGTTCTCCTGGCACGGACACACCGAGCTGTCAGTTCTGCGGTGACACCAGCGGCTCTCCTCGAGTTCAGTAGCGACGCCATCGACCTGGAGATCCCGCATGTTGGGAGGCCAAGTGCCCAAGGATGACCCGAGACCCGGCTGCAGATGCCAGCTGCGTGTCACAGGTTGCGCCTTGCGCAACCCTAGAATACCACCCTAGAAGCCCCAGTTCCCACCCACCGCGGGCACACTGACTCTACCTGGGGGACAGCACTTCACCGACACCTACCCAGTTTATTACTAAGGATATTACAAAGGATACGGGGAAGAGAAGCTCCGGGTCAGCTGTGTAGGGAAGGGTGCGGGACTCGAATGCCTGCTTTGGGAGCAGCGGCCGCCTGAAACCTCCCTGTGTTCAACTAGCCGGAAGCCCCCCAAACACTGCCCTGTGGGGCTTTCTATGCAGACTGGAGGGCACTGGCATCACTGGTAACAGACTGGGTGGGGAGACCCGGGAAAAGAAGTCACTCCCTCCCCCTACCTCCCCCTCCCCCACTCTGTCTCAGCCTGTGTCCACCTCTGCGTCCCCCTCTGCGTCCCCCTCTGCGTCCCCCTCGCCTCCTCCTCCTCTCCTGCTCCTCCTCCTCCTCCCCCTCCTCCTCCACCTGCTTGTGGCGGGGCATGTTGCAGGGCTCCCTGGAATGCAAAGCTCTGATGATTTTTGTCTCTGTGTGCTCTGTTGGGAAACTATGCTGTGAGACGGGGCAATAGACCAGGATAACTCGGGGGCATCCTGGTGGCCACGATTCCAGATGGCCACAGCCAGCTGGGCTGATCCCCCACCCCACCCCCAGACCTTATCAGGTTTCACACACACACACACACACACACACACACACACACACGGGTGTGAAGTTCCTGGACTGGCACGCCGCCCTGCCAGTCTCTGGACGGACAGAATTAAATGCAGTGCCCAAGTACCTCGACCCACTGTCACTCTCTGTGTGGCCTAGAGAAAGAGATTCAGTGGTTGGGACGATGACCACTTACTTCTCTTGAAAGCCAAAGGGCCTGAGGTCTTTGCGGGTTACTTAGCTCAGGCCTCTGAAGCTCCGCCCAGATTGGGAGTCCAGTGACCCCTGGAAAATGAATGAATTCTTGGAGACCCTCACCAAGGTACAGGCTTAAGACGAGCCCTTCCTGAGTAGACCGGGAGAAAGACGTGTTCAGCTTCACGCTAGGATTTTTAATGCCTCTGTTGGGCTCGTATGCCACACCCATGTTGTTCTCAAGTCTTCCGTCCTCTAATACCCGCTCCCCCACCCCACGCTCCCGCCCAAGAACTGTGGCCCCCAGTGCGCGGGGCACAGGACCCCAGATGTGCTGCCGGTCACGGTTGCCCGCTGGGTCACCCTGGGGGTCAGGGGATGGTGGTGGTGGCGGCGGTGGTGAGGGTGGCGCGGGGAAGAGCACTTTTCACGGCAGGCTGCAAGCCGCTCTCTCCTCTGTGAGGTGGCAGTAGGATCGCTGCCTTCCGTGGCTACAGTTCATGGTGGGTGTTGTAGTCAGGGGTTGTACACAGAGAACAATTCAGATCAGGACATGGAGTTTATAATATTTTTATAATGGTCACCGGAAGTTAACACAGGAGAATGCAGGAAATCTATCCGCAACACCAACGACATAGATTATATAAGTCAAGAGCCTAAACCCCACGGCAATGTCCCACATGAGTCCAGATAAAAACCCAGAGCTCAGGACAATGCCTCCACGAGTCCAACTGGAAGTCCAGGGCCCACAAGGACTCATGCCAGTCTCTTTTACGGATTCGTGCCGGGAAGACCCAAGGGTCAGCGGTGGAAGCCAGAAAGTCTATGCCAGCAGGATGAAGGAGCTGTGCTAGTGGGATGAGGGTTCCACGCTGGAGCCGAGAAGTCACACTCACAACAAAGAGTGGGGCTGTCCTGAATGGAACCACAGCTGTCCTCAGCGACACGGAGGCCCCGAGCTCGCTCCTCCGACGACAAGCACAGTCGGGGTCGGGTACGTGCCAGGAAGCAGCGTGACGAGTTCATCCTGGAGACCAGGCAGCACATGTCTTCCCCTCCGGAGCCAGGAAGCAATGCTCCATGTGAAAACCAAAGCTTCTCCAGGAGAACCAACAGCTCAGACAGCAACTTGTAGGAGAACTAACAATGCCTCCATAACGCCTCCATCCCTCTCCACACCTCTCTTCTCCACTTATTTATCCTGGCAACCCTTCTCAGGTGGAGCATCTTCTCTCAATGCATGCTGATGTAATCCAGCTGGCGTTAAGTTGACCACTAGTTATCAAACCATAACAGTGGGTGAACGGCAGGCAGCGAACCACCACAAACATCCGCGGTGCCCAAAGCCTCACCTGTGACTAGAGCGCCTTGGCGAGGCTCCCTGCACCACCGCCGCTGCCTCCCCGGGAGAACACGGTGGTGGTGGTGGTGGTGGTGGTGGTGCTGGTGCTGGTGCTGGTGCTGGTGCTGGTGGTGGCATCGGTTCCTTAACAAGGCACCAGGGTTTTACATGATTCGGGGGTCTTTCGTCTACCACAGCGCCTGCTGTGCAGTGAGGACGGGAGGGGGGGGGGACGAGTGGACTCCGTCCACGCAGAAGGCAGCCGAGAACATCCCGGTCCCCGCGGGACCTTACCTACCGAGGAGAGGAGAGGGCGGATGCAGAAAGGGCTTTGCAGGAGGTGGCCCCGGAGTGGGGACGGGACATCAAGGAGCGGCTTGGGAAAAACAGCTTCGGAAACGAGTTCGCTTTTCAACTCCCAGTTCCTGAGTCCAACGGAGAGACGACCTACATACCGCTCCGAAGGCGTGGAGTGGGGGGACGCGAAAGGGCGCCACGGGTAGCCTTTCCAGCCAACAGAAGCCCTACCCTAAACTGAAGTCCTGGAGCAGAGCCCAGGGGCGAAGCCAAAGCGCCCGGGGGCTGCTGCTGGGTGTGGGTGTGGGTGTGGGTGTGGGAGTGGGTGTGCGTGTCCCCCTCCACAGAGTCCTGAACCAAACCAGAACGGACCGGACCGGACCGGACCGGACCGGACCGGAGGGCGGGGGCTTCACACTGCTTTCCCTCCTCCCAAAGCCTTCCTTCCTCCCCCACGGCCGGCCGGCCGGCCCGTGTCCCCACAGCTGGAAGTCACGGGCACAAAACACTCCCTCCCGGGGGCTCTCCTTTCCTTCCGTTTTCTCCCGTGCTGCTGCGGCTGCGTCTCCATCTCCATCCGGGCCTGCGTGCGTGCGTGCATACATACGTGCGTGCATACGTGCCTGCGTGTGCGGTCGAGCGTGGCTGCCTGCGCGTTCCCATGAAAAGACACGTTATTTCCCCAGAAGATCCACATTGAGTCTGGCTTCCCGCACGTGGACTGAGGGTCTCTAATGTAAAGCGCAGGGCATGCTGAGGCGGCAGGAGGCTGCAGGGTGAAAGTGGATGAAGGGCTCAGCCGCAGCTACGTGGCGGTGTCTGCGCAACGTCCGCGTGGCCACAAGCGTCCAGTGCCAAGTGCCTTGGCACGGGAGCCTGGTGCTTGGGGAGGCCTGCATTTGGGGGTGAGCAAGAAGAAAGCAGAAGCGGAGGAGGCAGCAGGTTCCGGAGGCTGAGGGTGCATGGGGAGCCCCGTGGAGGGAGGAGGCAAGGGCTCTGTGTGAGACGGGCAGGAGCACCACGGTGGCCAAGTGGGAAACGGGGTTGGGTGGAGGGGCGGCGAGAAGCAGGCAGCAGAGGTAGGGGGCGACCAACACGCCTGCACCCGAAAGACCACAAAACCACAAGTGGCTGAAGCCAGGGAAAGTGGGTCCTCCAGCAAGGCAAAGCGAGTGGCCCTCAGTGGCCAAAGGCCCAGAGGCCGGCGGGGATTAGGGTAGCTAGGCTGGGGCTGGGGCTGGGGCTGCGTCCAGGTGGGCCCCAGCAACGTCCGGACTGGCCGGAGACCAGGAACACGGTCACCTCAACAGAGGGGACGCTGAGGACTGAGAGGCACGGGAGGACTCGCTGGAGCCCAGGCAGCCCTCGGGGGAGGACGAAGAGGCCGTCCTCCTGAGACCTGGCAAAGCAGCTCTCCCGGCCAAAGCCCATGCAGAGCACCAGGGGAAGCCTCCGGCCTCCGGCCTCCGGGGGTGGGGGGACGGGAGAAGGCATGGCACCCTGCTCTGAGAAGGGTATGGAGGCCACGGAGCAGCTCCGAGGCCTAGGGTCCAGCAGCCTGCCGCAGAGCGGAGCGGAGCGGAGCGGAGCAGGGCCGGGCCTTGCGTTGCGGCATGAGGTTTCTTCGGGCTGACGGGTCTCGGGACCCGAAAGACACTGGGCCCCCACTTGGGCCCTCACGGCCCCTGCCCTAGGGCACCGTGAGGGCAACCACACCCCGCTGCTTGCCCCCAACTGCGCCTTTGCCAGACATACCACCACTGAGGACTAGCAACCGGGCACAGCACCTCCTGGTGACTCTCCGGCCCTTCCATCCCTCCTGCAATCCCAGGGGGGCCCACCCCGAGGTCCGAGACAGCCCAGGAGGTCAGGGAACGAGGGTCTGGGAGGCCTGTGCCTTCGGCCACGAGAGGTGCCTGTGGCCCTCCAGGGATCCTGACACAGAGGTGGTGGACTGGATGCCAGATGAGGGCCAGAGCGGCTGCAGATTACCCTGCTCTGGGCTCACGTGGACACATTTGTTGGGCTTCTGTGGCCAAGCTTAGAAGCCCGAAAAGGGAAAAACAGGAAGTGATTTCACCGCGTTTGAAAACAAGGGAAAGCAGGTCAGCTCTTGGTGTGGCTCACCTGCAAGACGGATGGAAAGGGCAGAGAGACACACAGACACACAGACACACAGACACAGATACAGACAGACGGACGGACGGACGGACAGACAGACAGACAGACAGACAGACAGACAGACAGAGACACAGGCAGAGAGAGGATCAAAGATGAGTTCGGCCTGAAAAGATGTGTGTTCCCTGGGAGAGGGGGACAAAGATTGCTTTCCACTAACCGGTGCCCTCGGCCCTGCGCTGCAGAACAGCCCCTGCTCAGGGAAACCAGATGGGCAGGAGGCGGACCAGTAAACACAGTGCAGAGATCAAGAGCTGGGGGTGGGGGGAGTGGAGGTGGAGGTCAGGGCACGCGGACTCAGGGGACTCAGCACCCAGTACGCGTGGTCCCATCTGACCCCTCAGCTCTTCTGCACATACACACTCGCCACAAAGTACGTGCCAGAGTGTGTATGTCACTGGCGCTGAGGAGAGAGCATCCAACAACCTCATCACGATGGAAAACAGGGCCCGGGGATTTAACTCAGTGGTGGGGCGCCTTCCCCGAGAAGCGTGAGGTCCCGAGTTCCATTTCTGGTAACCCCTCGCCCCACCCCCACCCCACCCCCACCCCCACCCCCACCCCCACCCCAAACAGGTGGAAAACAAACCCCGGAACCTGTGCGAAGAGGTGGCCACGTATCTATATCCCCATGCCAGACGCTCCCCGGTAGGCAGGGAAAGCCAGCGGGGCGAAGCGGCCATGAAATTAGGAAGGCCCAGGGTGGGCGGAGGGGAGGGGGGGTGGGCTGCGGTGAGGGGAGCCCTTCACAACACTGTACACGTGACGTGACAGATGAGAGCTGGCTCTCTCTGGCGCACACTGAAGGCATTCCTGAGTGCTTGACGTTTCCCCATGTAGCTTCTTCCTAAGTGACCTCTTTCCCTCCAGAGGTGTTGCAGTGAGAGGAGCGCTGGAGCCCTGTCCCATGCTGACAAAGAATGAAACTGGACAACGCAGGAGGAGGCAGGGTATGAGCCTGTTTCTTCCACAGTGAGAAAGGCAAGAAAGTGCACGCAGTAAAGGGAAGGGAGCCTCCACTAGCCTAGCCGGGAGGGTGTTCTGAGTAGGATACCTAACCAGAGCTCTTGGCCTAGGGGTTCTGAAGGGACTCACGAGGGAGCTTGTGGAAGGGCCCGGGCCCTTGTGGAAGACACAGAAGAACACGATCCCCGCCTTACATGGAGACTGTATATAGTTCAGTTGGTTCTTTGGTTTGGTTTTTAAAACTATGGGACGCTTCACTTGCGCAGGGGCCTGGCTGATGTCTGTATCATGCCAATTTTAGTATATGTGCTGCTGAACTGAGCGCTGTGTGTGTGTGTGTGTGTGTGTGTGTGTGTGTGTGTGTGTGTGTATCTGAGTGTATGTATATTTGGATGGATGGATGGATGCCTGGCTGGCTGGCTGGCTGGATGGATATGGATATGTATCCATGTGTTGGTTCTTTTTCTTTTCTGTCAGGATCTGGTCTATCCAGTGCTCACGCAGTGTCCCCTGCAGGGCCCGTGTGCCCGCCCTCGACTATCCTGTCTGGATAGTGCTCCGGTGTGTGTCCCAGACAGCCCAAAGACACCTGCCGCATTTTTGGTTTCCCCCTGGGGTCCCTGGAGGGTCTTGACTGGGCAGGCTGTCGGGGGCCTTCCCGACTCCATCTGAGGGCCACTGTGCTCCAAGCCTAAGAAAATGCTAACTCCTCTCTCGCTTATTCCTGGTACTCGACTCGACCCGTGCTCCCCAGTCTGCTCTGAAGCCACGAGACGCCAGGGGGTTTCGAGGGATTGCTTGGGTGGAAGTCTGGGCCTGGACCGTGATGCAGTTTAGCTGTGTCACCCTGGAAAACTGACTGGTCTCTCTGCGTTTCGGTCCACAGCGGGGGGTGGACAATAAGGGCACGTTTACACTTTTGAGTTAGCCACACTGAAAAAAAACATCCTCGTGTGGGACAAGGTCTCCTAACTTGCGTTCCATTTCCCGAGTGGGGTCCAACTTGGGAGCCGACCCTCCCGCCGCTTGAACCCCCGCCCCCACCCCCGAGTGCCGAGGGATGGCAGGAGGGCTACTCCGGAGGGTGTCCCTCTCCAAGGGACACTCCATCCCCGCCTTCCCCTTCCCCGGGGCCTTGACCTCGGGCTTCTTCCCAGGGCGTGCGCCCGCAGCCACCGGGTGTCCTGCCGCCTCTATCCAGCCAGATCTTCTGCCTCCACGCCCGCAGTCGAGACGGTGCCCCCCCCACCCCCACCCCCACCCCCACCCCCACCCCCAGGGGCTCTCTCCTCTGAGTCAGTCAGCGCACCGCGAGCGGGGAGGGGAGGACCGTCCTCGCTCGGTTCACCCGCTCCCCAGCCGGGCCCAGGAACGAAGGAGGCCCGGGATGAGCACACAGTTGGCGGCGCTAGTGGCGCCACGTGTCTCGCCACCCGCTTTCTCTGCGGGAAGGCCCGCACGCTGGCGCCGCCTGGCCACGCCCCCCCCCTGCAGCCTCCCCCCCACGTCGTCCCCTCCCGCGGCGAGCCCTCTGCACGCCTCCGGGGCCCCCCTGCCCGCCCCCGCCCCCCGCCACGTCCCGCCTCCTCCCGTCTCGCGGCGTCTGGTCGGCTGTCCTGACTGGGCGGGGACAGCAAGCAGGAAGCGGCTCCCAGCGCCCCGCCCCCCGCCGGTCAGGCGCAGAGCCGGTCGGGAGGGCGGGGTCGGCGGGCGCAGCCACGCCTCCTCGGGGAAGGAAGGGCGGGTCATGCAGATGAGCGGCGGGACCGAGTGCCGGGGACGCCGGGAGGGCGTAAGAGGGGCGAGAAGCTGGCCCGGAAAACTGCGTGAAATGAGAAGCGTGCACCCGAGTAGGACGAGTAGGACGGTGTGCGCATGGGTGTGCAGGAGCAAGAGGCCGAGAGAGGCGGAGTGAGGGTTGTTTTTGTCACCGGGCGTGAAATGTGGAGCGCGGGAGGACGGCAAGAAGTGCGGGGGAGCCGGGCGGCATCGCTTCTCGGCCTTTTGGCTAAGATCAAGTGTAGTATCTGTTCTTATCAGTTTAATATCTGATACGTCCTCTATCCGAGGACAATATATTAAATGGATTTTTGGAGCTGGGAGATGGAATAGGAGCTTGCTCCGTCCACTCCACGCATCGACCTGGTATTGCAGTACCTCCAGGAACGGTGCACCCCTCCCCGGGGAAACGACCGCCTGTGCAAAAGGAAGCCCTTGTGTCCGCTCGCCTTTGTATGCGAGGGTCGGCTCTGCTGTCACCGCCATCAGCAGCCATCAGCGCAGCATTGCTTCACCAGCCCTTGCCTGGTAGCTGGCTCGTTGCTGTTGAGTCGCGCGCTGGCTGTCTCTTTGGCCCTGCTTCACGCCCGCCTGGTGCCTGGTCTGCCTTGGCCTATTCTGTTTCTCTGCTTCTCTCTTGCTCTGCTTTCTCCTTGCACGCTTATCCTCACGGGCAGGGGCGGCGCCTTGCACGCTCGCCATGCTTTCTAGCCTGTGCTTTTGCTGCTTTCACGCTGCTTCTCTCCTCTCCGGGACGTGCGGGGCTGCGTGTCTCTGTGGAAAACCACATCACCGCACGGGAGACAGCACGGTTCCAAAAGCCAAAGCCATCCTCAGCACGCGTCTTCCGCTTTCTGCGTGGCCCTTCGCGAACCTCTCTGCCTCAATCTAGCAGTCTCCTGTCTCCTTCCTTGACTTTTGCACAAGACCTCGCTCCCTGCCCTGTTTTGCATGCCCTGTCTTTCCAAAAACTCTTTTGGTTTGTAGTTTTCCATTTCAACTATCGGACGAACCACGCGCTCTTTGGGCTTGCGTGTCGGATGGATGGATGGATCGCACTTGCCGCTGTTATGGTGCAGCGTGCACCCCCGGGTTTCCCCTGCTGATGGCTCCTCGAGTTGATCCTGCGTGGCAACGTAGTGGCGCCATCGTGCACACACACATACCACGTTTGCCTCACCCAGTCAGTCGTCGGCCAGTGCACACGCGGCCTCTTTCCGTGACTCGGCTCTTGCCAATCGTGCTGCCGTGAACACGGGTACACGTGTATCACTGTACCGTGCTGGTGCTGTCTCTTTGGGGGAAAGAGAGGGGACAGACAGGTTGTATCAGAGGGAGAGACCCGGGGCGCGCCCGAGCGCCAAGGGCAGGTGCTCCTCCCGAGAAAGGAGGCCCTGTGACGTGAGATGTCCTTGGCTCCTTCGGCAAGGAGCCTAGAAAGCAGATAGCTGGGGTGGAGCGGAATTTCTGCCCCTGGTCTTTCCAGGCCTCCCCACACTGATTTCCCTACGTAGTGCCCCTACCACTCGAGCTTCTTCCCGCCCACCCACGAAGAACCGCAGACTTCTCCCTGCAGACTCACCCTCCGCCCTTGGCTGGCTGTGCTTTGATTGCCGGATGGGAGCCCTCCCTTCTGGAGGGAGGTGGACTCGGTACTCTTTTCATTGCTCTTGCTCTGCCGGCCAGAGCTGCTGAACACGTTTTCAGGGATCCAGCATTTGTCCTCCTCCTTCACGTGCCTATCTTACTATTTTCAGGATCCCCATGTTTCGATCGGGTCTTTTCTACTGTTGCGGGGAGTCCTCATGTTTTGAGTTCTTGATATATGCATACTTCCACGCTGGTGGCCAGACCGATCGTGTGTGTGTGTGTGTGTGTGTGTGTGTGTGTGTGTGTGTGTGTGAGTGTGTGTGTGCGTGCACGCGCGTGCGAGTGTGCCTGTGCGTGTGTGTATGAGGGAGATATGGTGGTGGCTTCCTTTGAAGACCAAAGATGTTCACTCGCGTCTGAGTTGGTTTTCCTCAACTGAATCCTCCGCACTCGAGTCACGTGGCAGGGTTACCACTTGGCGATAAACGAAACGAGTGGGCTTGAGGTTGCAGTTTGGGCCCTGGAACTCTAAAAGGAACCCCTGCGCTGTTCTGGATATCTGCCTGAAGGATATTGGGAGGAAACGTGTTCCCATGGCGTGGACAGTTTCTTCACGGTTGGTCGCCTCTTCTACTGTGCAGAAGCTCTTCCACATGCTGTGACCCCGTCTGTTGATGTTTCTTGTTCCTTCCTGGCGTCGCCGCCATCGTCGTCGTCGTCGTCGTCGTCGTCGTCGTCGCCGTCGTCCTCCTCCTCCTCCTCCTCCTCCTCCTCCTCCTCTTCCTCCTCCTCCTCCTCCTCCTCCTCCTCCTCCTCCTCCTCCTCCTCCTCCTGACGGGGACTCACACTCACTATTAGCCGAAGCAGGCCTCCAAGCCCCAGCGGTCCTCTCGCCCGCCCGCCCATGGCCTTCCCTGCGCTAGGATGCGGGACGTGCCTGTGGGGCTCCCGCTATTGGTTCTTGACAATGTTATTTCCTCTGCAGTGGGTGTTTCAGTCACAGGGTCTTTGGGGCCGCTGCCTATTCCAGCAGAGAACTCTATGCTTTCAGGAAAGCGGCTCGTGGCCTACAGCTGGGCCTTTGTAGAGAAGGGAGGGACCCACATTGCCGAACTGGCCCCTTGTGGGTACTCGAGCGCACCTGCCATAACAGGTCGCCGGGTGTGTGTGTGTGTGTGTGTGTGTGTGTGTGTGTGTGTGTGTGTGTTTATTCTCGAGGACCAGACCTGGGAAGGATAATGCCGCCGCCACCCTCTCTCAGTCTGGCGGAGTTTCAGCCCTGCACCAGCTCTCTCCCGCCCCCCCCCACACCGAGCGCTCCACCCCGCCCCGCCCCACCCCACTCCACCCCACCCCACTCTCTCATAACTCCCGAAGCCCCACCTCCTTCCAGCGAAGGAGACCTTCCAGCACCTAGCTCTGAGAACTCTCTTTGCTGGCCCCCCAAAGTCCAGAGCCAATGGCGGGCCCATGAAACCAAGTCTACCAAGGCCTGCCGCCGCAGTCAAGGAAAGTGAGCTCGGCTGTGTCCACGGCGGAGCTAGCAGAGCTCGTCCCGTCCACGGGGACAGGCGCACACGGGCTGGGAATGCAGCTCGGTGGCAGAGTGCTTGAGAGCACGCCTGAGCCCCTGCGTTCGATCCTAATACTGAGAAAACAGCAAAGGAAACAACCAACGAACCCACACCACACAAACCAACAAACAACCAGGTGATGACTCTGAGGCTCAGAGGCCTAACCTGATGCCCCAGCCCCACCTAACATTGCAGCAATGGGGTCGGGGCTTGGTGGGGGGGCCCAGTAGGGCAGGGCCGAGACTGAATTTCAGAGCTCTCCACCTGATTCCTGTCTGATGTCTGCTTCCACAAACACCCTTCTTTGCAGACATCCCTTCCCCGGGCTCTTCGTCAAGCGTGCGGGGAGTTGATGTTTGTAACCTCATGGAAACGTTATCGGAATTCTAGCAGGTTGATTTCCGATCTACCAACTTCCGGTGCAACCCATGGCAAGAATTAAAGACACCGAGACACATTTATACTTGGGGGCGGGGGCGGGGGCGGGGAGGGGTGGCTGTGCGGGCGCGCCGAGGGGTCCTAAGTCCGGCCAGGGTGAAGGGTCATCGGGAACAAAGGCCTCGACCCAGGGCCTAACCCGGATTTTATTAATTCGTGAAGAAGGCAGTGGCTAGAGGATGAACCACTGCGACAATGGCGGGAATGCCGTGAGTACTGTGAGCTGGGCCACGCACGAGACCTGCAACCACCCCTCCAACGTGCAGAAAGACCCATCTGCGTAAGGCAACTGAGGCAGCATTTCATGTTCGGAGGGCGATGCTTCAGCTCTGACCTGTAGTGTAGAGCTTCATGCCCGGGGAAGCCGTAGCCTCTCACCTCGAGGCTGGAACCCAGTTGACGGCCCTGGAGCGGTGGCTCTGCTTCCCGCCCGGCTCAACCACGTTTGGATTGGGGGGTCACGGGGCAGGGGAACAGGGACCGCCACCGAGCTTCAAAGATCACGCGTCAGCACCTCCTCGGCCAGCCCCATTTACATGGCTTAGAGCCCATGGAAGGCAAAAAGGTAATGGCTCGGTGGGCTCTGTCCTTATCAGCCCGTGGAGACAGGGCCTGGCCTGCTTTAGCCCACCTGGAGATAAGTGTTCTTCTTTGTTCGAGGAGAGTCCTCCAGGTGGTCCTCCACACTCCTTAGCAGTTGCAGCGGAGACACCTGAACTCAGACTTGGCCTGAAACCGGACCGCTTCCACACACATCAAAGCGTTCGGGGCAGATACTCAAGAACCCGCGTGAGACTGAGGGAAGAGAGAAGGCCCGCTTTGGTCCCAGGCAGGAAGAGAGCGAATCTTGGGGCTGGGGC